GGGAGTTCAGGGGATGAGGAGCGGAAACAACTGCTGAAGTGAGGTTGCCCCCTACCTGCTTTTTATCAGCTCTTCACCAGCGCAGTGCATCTTCAGTGCCCTGATTGTTACCTCTACCGGCACCTGGATCACAGGTTTGAGTCACACAGGTGATGGGGCATCACTGTTTGTTCTAAGACAGTGGTGGGAGAAAAGAGATATCAGAAACCTGGAGTTCCTTTTCTTTTTTATCATTCCACAGCCACGTCCGGCCACGTCCTCCCTGAAACCAAAGCCACCCCTCTCTCACACACACACACCAGTTCAAAATAGGGATCCCCTTCACCAAGGGGTTCCTTGCCCATTTCTTCACACCTTGGTAGTTTCTCTTTATAATTCTTCCATGGTTGATCTTGGGAGAGGGAGCAGCACTCACACTAGTTCAATCCGGGTTCAAGTTTAAGGACTTTGAGCACTTGCTCTGTGCTAGACACTTCTAAGCACATCACCCACATTAACTAATTTAATAACCGCCTTATGAGGTTAACTTAGCAGCCCCATTTTACAAACAGGAAAACTGAGACATAAAGAAGTTAACTAGCTTGCCTAACGAGCTAACTGAGTGAGGACTCTCACCCAGCCAGTCTGGCTCCTGAGTGCGCCCGCTTAACCTCTGCCGTGTGGCAGAGCCCAATTTACCCAGTGCCTTTTATGGACAGATTAACGTAGTGTTGGCCAGGGGTGTCTAGCTTGTGAGACACTGGCCAGACGAGAGGAGGGAGGGTGACAAGGACAAGGCATTAACGGCCAGGCCTGCTGTCAGCAGCATATGATCTCAGGTGGGAGACTCTAATGGATGTGTCTCAGGGCAGGACACAGGCCCTGCGTGGTCAGAGGTGAAGGGAGTAGGATGAGTGAGTGTGGGTAAGGCCAGCCACATTAAGGAGGGCTGATGTCATTTCTCCTCTGTGTGTTTGTCTTCGAATTTGACATATTGTGTAAGCTGGTTGGTGTGAAATTCTGGCCTGCGTTTCCCATGCACTGAGTTTGAAGTCCTTCCAGTGGGAGCACTTGAGTGGGAGCATCTGGAACCACCAGGTGCCTCCCTGGGGGGTTGTTGAGCTGCCAGTACCTGCTACTATACCCGCCTCTTCACGCGTCTGCCTCTTCCTTTCCTTCTCTCTTCCTTTCCTTTGCTCTGATTGGTCAACATGTCTGGGAGGGCCTAAGACCCTGTCATAGGCCCTGGGAAGGATACTCTAGATTAGCGGTTCTCAACCTGTGGGTCGCGACCCCTTTGGGGGTCGAACGATCCTTTCACAGGGGTCGCCTAAGACCATCGGAAAACAAAAAGATATTTACCTTACGATTCATAACAGTAGCAAAATGACAGTTATAGAGCAGCAACGAAAATAATTTTATGGTTGGGGGGCACCGCAACATGAGGAACTGTATTAAGGGGTCGCGGCATGAGGAAGGTTGAGAACCGCTGCTCTAGATGGATAAGATTGGAAGGTGAAAGTCAGTGACCACGAAGCAGGATGAGGACCAGGAGAAAAAGACACCTGTGACTCCCCTTACTGGGCTCTTATGAACTGTGAGCATCGTGAGTTTGAGTAATCACAAGGGTGGTGCTGGGTATCTTGATTCTTGACACATGGCGCTTTCTGGGAAACCACAGCTCCCCTCTAGCCGCTTTCTGAAGTGGCCGACACTTTTTTTAGCTGCGGTTGCTTAAAGTGAATTAGAAACTGCCTTGAGGAGCATCTCCTCCCCCAGTGGGGTGGCTGCCGCCTAAGGTTTCAGGCAGGCAGGCCCATCTGCCTCTCGCTGACAGGCAGGCTCCCCGGCCCCAGGGACCTGCTACATGCTTTCGGAGCCACAAATATTTCACACAGTGGGTACCCAGCTGCCGCCCTCCCCCCTACCCCATTCCTTTCCACCTCTTCCTCATTCCTAAACCTGCACCTTACACTCTTGTTAGTTACTGTTGCTTCCTTGTCCCTCCCTCATGTGGGCCCCTCTCCTGGAGTTTTTTTCTGGGAAATCTGAGAAACCTGAGGACACCTCTAGCTTCATTTGCCTGGGGGAGCAAAAAGAAATGAACAGCTGTGAATGTTTCCTATGTTTCAGAGATGGTTTGTGGTGCCTTACTGATATTATTTCATACAAATCTCACAACTTGAGAAGGAAATGTATTGTTGAAGGTCCTGAGGTGATTGGGCCCAAGATCAGGAAATGATGGCAAACTCAGGATTCAGACCTATGCTTGTCCGCCTCGAAAGCCCACACCCTTGCTGTGTTTCGGATGCCCCTTGAGACCCAGTCAGCCTTCCCAGCTTTGTAACCTCAGAGTTCTGTTCCCAAGCACACTGGATATTTCGCTTCTCCTTAGAATTGAAAGAAAAAGACGGACGGAAGGAAGGAAGGAAGGAAGGAAGGAAGGAAGGGAAGAATGATGGGAGGAAGGAAGAAAGAAGTAAGGAAGGTGAGAGAGAGAGAGAGAGAGAGAGAGAGAGAGAGAGAGAGAGAGAGAGAAAGGAAAGGAAAACCTCCCAGCTCTCTGTCTTTTGAAGATCACACTTTTTTCTAGAATGATTAGAATAACATGTTTTTTAACTGGAAGGTGACATGAGAGCATCTCATTCAGTGGTTATTTTAAAACTTTTCAACCATGGAGCCATTTCTTAGAAAATGGTCATGGAACACCCAGTGTATAAAGCCCCCAGGAGTGGTGCTGATTGAAATGGCAGGGGTTGGGGGAGCTCCAAGACCTGGCCTCTCTGCTTCCCTGGAAGCTGAAGCAAGTCAGAGGAGCCTTAGGTGTCTGTTGGAACACCATTTGAAAGCTCCTGATTATCTCTCATTTTACAGAGAAGCAAGCTGAGGCCCAGAGAGGGCAGTTAACTGGCAAAGTCAGGACTAGCATCTGGGTTGCCCAGCTTCTGGCCTGCAGCTTGCTACAGAAACCTGTTTGTGTATCTGCAAACCCCGCAGGGCACCTGGTCCAGGAAGGGGATGCAGGTGCAAGTAGAGGAGAGAGGCCAAGCTTCCTCTTCTCCTTGCTCATCACCAGAAACCTGAGCTCCCATGCCCATTCAGGGAGGGGACAGACAGGGAAAGGAAGGGTGCAAGTCGAGGCTCAAGGAAGCAGGTGACAAAATGTCAGAAGGAAGAGAGAAGGGGAGGCAGAAATAGGGGAAGAGGTGACAGAAAAAGAGCAAAGGCGCCTCCGTGTCAGCCCAGGACGAGGACTAGCCTAGTTTTTGGGCCCTGGTTTTGCTCTAGCATCCCCTTGGGCAGGTCCTGGCCCCTTTTCTCACTTCAGTTTCCTTTGAAGTCTTCTCCACCCACTAGCAGTGAGGGCACGTACAGGCTACAGGAGGGGTAGGGTGGCTGCAGAGCACCGCACAGGGGACCAGAATTAGCTGCTCAGCTTTGGCTGTAAATAGCTGAATGTCTTCAAGCAGTTCCAAAGTCTCCCTGGGCCTTAGATTCCTCATCTGTAAAACTAGATAGGACGGGGCAATCTCTAAGGGCCCTTTGGGCTCAGAAAGGTCTGGGCCATAGACCCTGTGCTTAGGGAGCCTAGGAGTGGGCAGATGTGGGCTCCAGCGCACCTATAACTGCAGGCTTAGGAGCCAACAGGGACAGACGTTCTGTAGTCTAGCAATCTGGTTTTGTAGGTGAGGAAACTGGGCCTAGAAAAGCCAGGCGACTGTTCTGCCCCTCTCAGCGCTAGTTCTCCTCATCCTCTGAACTGGAGAGTCTCAAGGTTCAGGGCGAAGCAATTCTGTGCAGTGGATAAGCATTTTTGTGTTGTCTACCTGAACATTTTATTGACTTTCAACATGTTCTACAAAAACAGCACATGCTCATTATAATAATTTCCATTAATACAGGAAGTGAAAAAGTAAAAAACTGAAAATTGCTGTCGTTGTTCCTCCCTCACCCCCTAGGTCCCCAGGGTATCTCCCATTAACAGTTGTCAATTATTCAAGCATAAACTTTAGGATCAGACACACCTAGGTTCTAATCCAGCTCAGAGCTAGTTAGCCGAGCAACCTTGTTACTTGTTACCACTTTTAGTCTCAATCTCCCCATGTGTAAAATAGGAATAATAATAGCATCTACCTTCTGGGATTGTGGTGAAGATTTGATGAGATTTTATATGACTAGCACTTAATAGTGCCTGGTACACAGTAAGTACTACACACACACACACACACACACACACACACACACACACACACACACACACCCTCCCTCGAGGGGACATAGAATGAGTTAGAGGTAGAGTAAAAATGAGACCCAGTTTTCTGACCTCTGGTCTCATCACCCCTCAGCCACACCTGTCTGCCTCTCACCCTGGTCCCCCGGGCACATGTGAAGTGCTCAATACTTGTTGAATGATTGACTGAGGTTGGTGGGGGTGGTAGACCTAGGGATCTGAGGTCTGTGGAGTTTCTGGGATGCCTGCTCTGGAAGATGGAGGCCTCATCCCGTGGATTGGGAGGGGGTGGGACAGTGTGCATTGGCTGGACCAGCTGTTGCTTCAGGGCTCCGGGCCTGAGAGTTGAGCCTCAGGGCAAGAGCGGAGGCCCCAGAGTGGCTCTCAGCTTAAAGGATCTTGACTTAAAAGGAATGTGCAGTGGGCTGCCTCTGCTCAGGAGGGGCTAAAAAAAGCCTGACCTTCCCCTGGGCTTTGTGTGAGGGTTATCAACTGCTCAAGTCAGCTCATCTCTCTGGCTGGACGCTGGCATTTTTGAGAGGCCCTGTGTTCCTGGCCCCCTCTGGGTTTCTACCAATTGGCAGGAAGGGGTCAGCCTGTCCCAGAGGTGGAGGCTGTGAGGAGTGTGAGTGGGCGGAGGAGGCTGGTAGCCCCAAACCTGGTGACAATACACAGTTGTCAGCTGTCCCCTGCTGGTGTTTCTTCCTTTTATAGTCAGCAACAGTTGCTCTTGCTCTCACCCAGCCCCTCTGTGGGGGCTCCTGCCCAGAATAAAAGGGGAGAGAGGCGGCCCAGTCTCCTGTCTCGTGTCCCAGGCTCTGTCTACATCTCTTGATTCCTTTAGGTCCCACCTCCGCGGAAGATCCCAACAAGGCAACATGCCTCCTAAGAAGCCCGAGCCTAAGAAGGAAGCTGCCAAGGCAGCCCCAGCCCCAGCCCCAGCCCCAGCCCCGGCCCCAGCTCCCGAGCCCCCCAAGGAGCCTGCCTTTGACCCCAAGAGTGTGAAGGTGAGTGAGCCTCAGCCACTGGGAGCTGGGTGGAGATGACATTCAGGATCCTATTTGCCTGGAGCTTAGAGACCTACTTCAAGGCGGCTGGGCTGGGGTGAGGGCTCTGGTGTCCATGCACCAGATCACAGCCCCACCGGGCGGTGGAGTAGGTGTTGGGGCCAGTGAGGGGTGTTTTGGGGTGTAGGCCTTTCCCCTTGAGAACAGGTTTCTGCTCTGTCTGAGGAAGCCCTGCTCTGTCACCCCAAATTTGTGCAGCAGAGTTGGGAATGGCAGGGAAGTGCAACCAACCAACCATCCCGCCTTTTTTAAGGCACTGTGGGGGCCACCATAGTGAAGTGAAAGAGACTAACCCTTTCTTCAGAGATATATAATATCTACATGGAGAAAAGACAGTGACAACTGCCAGTGTCACTTGGAGTAAGTGATGTAAACAGTGAGGGGCTGTGCCCCTAGTGCCTGGGGAAGGCTTCACTTTCAAAGACCTTTCCAGTGGGTGGGCGTGGGAGCCGGGGTGGTGAGAAGAGCCTGGTGTTCTTTTCTCTTCCCTACCCGGGGTGGGACCCTCCTGTGGCCTCGGCCTGGGCTCCTACGTGGAGTATGCGGAGACTGCCCATCCCAGCTGAGACCCTCTCTCTAACCTGGCAAGGGAGCTGGGCCTGGTTCCCTTTGCCGCCCTGCCCTATTCCATCTCTGCCTCGCCCTGCTCCCCTCACACTGGAGGTTTCCTCTTTCTGGAGCTGGTGTAGGCCCTGCGTGCTGACTGAGTCATTTTAGGCCTCCCGGCTATCTGGCCCAGCTGTGGGAGGAATGGAACTGGGAGGGGATGGGCCTAAGAAGGAGCGGTCAGAGGCCTCTGGAGAGTGAAGCAGACTTAAACCTTGGCACCAGAATGCAAGAGGTCAAGTGGCCACGGGTATGAAGAGCTATTAATAACAGGTTGGGAGTGGTGGGCCCCTGGGAATATCAGCCTTAGGTCAGAGCTGGGAGTGGTGAGGAATCAGAGCAAAATCAGAGCTCAGGACCAGGTTCTGGGACAAGTAGGCAGGAAACGAAAACCCTGGGGTCTCGTTGGATGACCCGCTCTGGTCTTCTCAGGATCCCTCCCACAGTCCCAGGGACTCTGCAGTTGTGCCAAGGACCCTGGGGTTGATCTATGGTGATCCCTGCAAGGGGCAGGAATTAAGCAGAACTGGCTTGGCCAAGAGATCGAAGCAGTTGTCCCATCCCTGGACTTGGTCATGGCACACTGTAGAGAAACTGAGGCATAGTGTAAGACCTTGAAAGTGCCTAGAGGTTTTCTTGGTCATACATCACTCCCTCTATGGCAGTGGTTCTCAACCTGTGGGTCGCGACCCCTTTGGGGGTCAAACGATCCTTTCACAGGGGTCGCCTAAGACCATCAGAAAACAAAAAGATACTTAGATTACGATTCATAACAGTAGCAAAATTACAGTTATAGAGGAGCAATGAAAATAATTTTATGGTTGGGGGTCACCACAACATGAGGAACTACATTAAGGGGTCGCGGCATTAGGAAGGTTGAGAACCGCTGCCTCTGGGCAGAGCCTGGCAAGGAAAGCTGACTATCTCCCCATCAGGATGCCTTTACTCCTGATTTGTTCTGATGATGGACTAGCTCCTGTGGAATGCCTGCTGCCGGGCCTGGTCCCTGGTGTCTGGGCAACAGCTGCCTAGTGCTTTCAGACGAGTGCCTTCCCCTGGGCCTATCACTTCCCTCCATCCACCCACCTCCCTAAATTTCTCCCCCTGGATGCAATCCTCTTTTCCATGTCTAGATCTTCAAATCCTGTGGGTTGTTGAAGTTGCTTTAAAGTGAGGGGAAGGGGAGGAGGGGGGACAGTGGGTGTTTTTCATGAAGGCTATTTTCCCTATTATTTGTACTCACCCAGTTCCTTTACTTAGAGGATTCTTTGCTCAAGGATAGTGCACAAGTAAACTTAACCACAGTGTGTGTGGTTCTGGCCGATATTCCGATGTTATGTTTTTATACTGATTACACATATACTCCTGGGACTTAAAACATTTCAAAGTAAGGGAAACTGCACCTTTTCCTCAGGGAGTTCATGTAAATCATCCTCTAGCCCCATTTAGAGGGTTCCTTTAACTTCCTGACCACCCCCCAACCCCACCTTTGATACAGTCCATTCCCAGGCACAGCTAGTTCCCTTCCCAAACTGATGTAACCCCTGTCCTGCTCTCCTAGCTCATTCTAGCCACCTCCAGGGGTCCTCATTAATGGAGGTCAGCCTGGGATGGGCATAGCACAGCTCAGAATTAAGACTAGGAAAGGTCTTAATTGGTTACCATCACCAGTGGAGAGGGGACGTGGAGTGGTGGAGGTAGATAAGGACAATGAAGTAACGCAGACAAGATCCTAAATGAAAATGATGACTCACGCTTGGTCACTGTCATTCATGTGCACAGCCTCTTATCTGCCTCTGACTGCTCAGAATTGAATTCTTATTCATTGGAGGGGAATCCAAAATTTACTCCTTTGCTCAATAAGTATTTTTGGAGTGCCTACTCTGTGCCAGACATTTCCGTGAACAATAAAAATTCCTGCCCCGTGGGAACCCTGGCTTCAAGGAGCCAGGATACACACACAGGCATGACAGGAACACAGTTACCAAGCATCGAGGGCCCACCCAAACTGCTCTTGCTGTCCCAGCATGCCTAAGAGGGACATGTGCTAAGGAGGGATTGGGATGGGATGGGGTGAAGGAGGTGATTTAAAGTCAACATGGGGTAGAAAAGGGAGGGCAAGGGTGAGGAGGGGGGTCGCCCAAAGGGAGAGGAAATGTGGCTTGTGGGTCGATTGTGGAGTAGGGAGAGTGTGAAGGGATGAAAGTGAGGGCAGTTTATGGCCACAAGGCCAAGGAACTTACATTTGACCCAAAGGAATTATAATAGGGAGTTAAAGTAGGTCTAGAGTTACCCAGAGTACTCCTCTTTCTCTCTTTCCCTCTCACTTGGAGCCATTACTTGTCAAGTGGTACAGAGAGAGCTTTGAAGGCTGCATTATTTTAGAGCCTGTCAGTCATGTCCCATCCATCAGGAGACTGGTGTTTTGCACTTAGCCCCAGTCTCCTTCCCTCCTCATCAGTAGCCCGTTGAAGGTGACCCGAATGTGGTGGGAGCCTTTAGCAGCCTCATTCCTCTGTGTTTCTCTCCCCACAGATAGACTTCACTGCTGACCAGATAGAAGGTGAGTACTAACAACCCCACCTGCTCCACCTCTTTGTTGCACTTCCTGGAGGAGGGAGAGGAAGTGTCATCATCACGGTAATAGTTATCATCATCATTATCATAACAGCAAACTTATATTTACTATAGGTGTGCTATTTGCTCACTTTATTTTA